CGATCGCAGCTGTTTCTTCCTTTTAACTGCCAGTGGGGTTTGAGCTGATTGGGTGGGAGCTTGGCTGTGTTCTGATTGGGTGGAGGTGTGTTCTGATTGGTTAAGGAGCTTGGCTGTGCTCTGATTGGATGGGGGAGTGTTCTGTTTGGGTGGGGGCTTTGTTGTGCTCAGGTTAGTCTGAGTTGCAGGGGGATTTGAGGTGGTGAGCCAAACAACAGCAATGAAGCTCACCACCTCAAATCCCCCTGCAACTCAGACTAACCTGAGCACAACAAAGCCCCCACCCAAACAGAACAAAGCCCCCACCCATCCTAAGAAACCCCAAAGACAAAATTGAGTTAGAAAATCAAGGAGTATACGAAATCCCATGCACTGCCTGCCCCACCACATACATCGGACAAACGAACAGAAGAATAAGTGCACGCATTGAAGAACACAAGAACTCAGTCAAAAAAGAGGAATCAACTTCTTCCCTAGTCCAACACCTTAAAACCACAGGACATGAAATTGACTTTAAAAAGACCAGAACTATCGCCAAAACCGAACACTTTAACAACAGAATAATCAGAGAAGCCATCGAGATAGAAAAATGCCCACACAGCATGAATAAACGAGATGATACCTCCCGCCTACCAGCCATTTGGAAACCCGCCCTTATTGACAAACGAGTCCCTAACACAAAGAATAATACCAGACCCACACTCACGAAAACCACACAGGATGTTACCACCAAACATCCACACAAAAAGCAAACCCAAACCCACACCGATGATGAGGCACGACCACAAACCAGAAGCCAGACCACAGCTGCATCATTAGCCACTTTAAACCCCTCTAATCCATACATGAAACAAACTGACACCCACCATGAAGAGGTGGCACGACCACGAACACAAAGCCAAACAGCAGCAATGCAGCCCACCATCTCAAATCCCCCTGCTACTCAGACTAACCCGAGCACAACAAAGCCCCCCACCCAAACAGAACACAGCCCCATCCAATCAGAGCACAGCCAAGCTCCTAACCAATCAGAACACACCTCCACCCAATCAGAACACAGCCAAGCTCCCACCCAATCAGTTCAAACCCCCACTGGCAGTTAAAAGAAACAGCTGCTATCACACACTGCTCCTAGAAGCACGAAGCTGAAAACACCAGCCTGAAGATGACGAATGGGACTTCGTCGAAATGTCGCCAAGACACTTCCAATTTTACGCGGGAGAAAACCTGAATAACGAAAGACCTACATATATATATATATATATATACACACACACACACATATACACACATACATACATATACATACACACACACACACACCACATAAGACAACCATCTTTTTTTAACAAATGCTCCCTCTTTGACATTAAGTTCTTCACATGTCTCTTACCCAAAGCAGAATCCAGTAGTTTAAGATATTGAGGAAAAATGATTTCTGTGAGACTATAAGAAATGCAGATGTATGCTTTTGTCCAACAGGTCTTGAACATGTTAAGCTGAACTTTCATTCAACTCTGGACAGAAATGTGGTGTTAGGAAAAGGCCAATTCAGGCAGCTGGTACATGAGTTCTCTCTTCCTCCCCAACCCCCTCTTTTCTTTAGCATGGCTTTTAAATATCTCTGGAAGTTCTGCAAATTAGGCTATGAATTAGGAGAAACTATCTTAAGAGTATAAATCACAAATAGGAATCCTATCTTGTTTTCTAAATCAGGTGAAGTTAATTATATTTTATATCTAGGCATTACAATAAAACAAAGTTAAATGATATTAGAAGTGAAAGATTCCAATCTTGAATTTCATAGCTACATCAAGTAAAAAGAAAGGATGGAGATCAAAAAAGCTAAGATTTGGGAAGAAGGTATTAAACCATCTCCAAACAGGCCAGTACATTTGAAAACATTAAAAGTTATTGTCTTCAAAATGGGAACTGGTTTATTGTAACCTACCATTAATTGGACAAGTTAATTTTTAAAAGTTTTCTTAAAATTTGTAAAATTTCCTCTTTCTATTTTGTTTCTTCACATTTTTTGCTTTTTTATTGGAAAACTTCCTGTTCTAATAATGACTCCACATTTTTAAAGTTATAGTCAACAACCAGTTAAATATGATTTAGAAAAGTTGTTAATCTTAAGTGGTTTAGGGATCCTGCCCAGGACTATAGGAGGTGTGATTGAACACATCCCTGGGAAGTGTTTAAACAATGAATTAGACTTAAGACATGTATTTCACTTCCCCACCTCCATGAAAAAAAGGTCTGAAATTTTCAGTCCTGTCAACCCTAGTGACCAAAAGTGGGGCATGGGGGTGGGACAAATAGTGTCTCTTCTCTGATAAAAGCACCATAAGCCATCCTGCCACCATTCGTTCCTGATTTTTCCTTTGGTTAAAGTGGGAACTTCACAAAGGAAGGGTGTGATTGTTGCAGGACCACGTTTTCCTTGCTGCTTCCTTCTCTGGATACTGTTGGAGTCTCAAGGAAAATTATTTTGTTTCTTTTAAGAAGTGCCAGTGCATGAATCTTCCTGAAAACC